AATGTAAAGCAGTGAATCGGTATATATTCGATAATATCATCATCATTTCGTTGAAGAATAGTAAAATTATTCATGTCAAACCCAATGATAACTTCTGCTCTAATGCAAATTGGTATTTTTACTCTCATTAAACTTACATATGGCTGAGTATATTAATTTTTATTTGACATTTCTACCTTTGAAGAAATTTTCATACGCCGATTTAATATCTCGTCAACATCAATAAAAGAGTCAAAGYTATATGAAGTACTATTCATGAATTCATTTTAACTTGAAACGACAAGCAATGAAAACTCAATGAGCGCAGATGACATCTGTAATCCCGATTATTTTATCTCATCAATTTTAAAATGCGTCAATGCATGGGACTTATAGCCTCATTATCTTTAATTCGTAAATTGAGTTCTTCTGTCGAACAGGGCAAAAAAAAGCTGTCAAAGGGACAAACTAAAAGTCTACACCATACATCCATCGTCATTCATTTCTAAAATGAAAGAAAACTTAAACATGACATTTGCAGATGAACAGAAATGATATTCTCGTGTTGCTGGAGTCTTATCTTCACGACTTTCATAGGTAAATCAGACCTGACAATCTAGTTTACTTTTTTCGTGGGTAGACTATAACGGATATAAGTATTCCGTCGTCAMCATAGTTAACTTTCTTACATCACATAAAGTCTGATTATTTACGGAAAGATCTTGACTAAATTTAAAGGAAATCCTGGTGAATATCATGTAAAGGTGGCTAAAAAACAATTTCTATGGTATATTCTTTTCGTTGCTAGTGTATTAAAAAGAAAGGCGCCGAAAATTTAAAAGAATACAGAGAATTACAGTCATTTCCAAAAAATTTGGTCAGGCGTAAAAACTATATCTAGTTAATCAGGTTCATGATTAGTAATGTTTTGTTAGTTTTTTTTTTTGTTATTTTTTTATTGCTAAGAGAGATCTTAAATCATTTGAATATTTTAAATTATTTTTATTCAATGTGGTCCAAGCGATATTCAAGTTGAATCCGCATTTTTGTCGCTGAAAATGAAAAGTTTCAATTTTAAATATCAAAAACTCTATATATTGTTATATTTTTATAAGTTAGTTGACAGAATTTTTTCGAATGACTGTACATTNACTTCTATTTTTTGCTTTTTGTTTTTGTCTTTGATTAGATTCCTACATTAATGTTTGTTTGCAATATCTGCAGAATCATTTAGTAATTATTTCTATATATTTCAATAATGTGATATTTTAAAGCGCGCTTTCATTGGCTTTTTTTCATTAAACGAATAATAGGTTTTCACAGCGCGGCAATTGCGCAACCGAGATTCAATTTTTAAACAGAGTGGCCGAGTTATGTTTACTATTCGTACGGACATGGTCTATATAATCTGAAATTATTAGTTAGTAATTATATAAGATATCAATTTTAAAATACTATAATTTTGTTTAGAGTCAAATAATAATATGAATACGTGCAAACTTCCTGATTTTGCCATGCAAATTTAGCCCGGCATAGAAAGAGCGACACTTTCGTAAACTCCGATGCCAGAMACGGACTGCAGCAATGTCACTACTATGTTCTCAATACCTGCTATGTTGAACACTTTTTGGATTTTTCTTGTGAATTATGAATTTATTATTAATCATTTTTTTCGTGGAAATAGTCGCATTTCGGCTTATTTGAAATAGAAAAATCCATGTCCGTACGAATAAGTCACGCAGTCTATTCATAAAAAACATAATTCAAAAATTTCTGAAAGTAATCTAGTTAMCCGTGATTCGAAAAAATTAGTCGTGAGTCGTGAAATCGCCAATAACACCCCATTGAGACCCTCAGGTAAATGTTCTTTTACTATTTTTTCCATGGAATGGAATTCTGGACTGGGATTCTGGCATATTATTATTGACACTCACTTGTTCCTTAACAACAGAAATTACGCTACTTCACAGTGTTACGATCTCTAGCTAGAAAGTCAGCATGAAATCAATAAGGTTTTCTATTATAACTTGATAGTATAAAAACTGTCTAGATATGGAATTTAGCAGCCCATACATGCGGCTTTTTTCAACGAGTGTTGAAGAGATCTCTGACGAGTGAGCGCAGCGAACTCGTGAAGATAAAATTCGTATCTCCAAGCGACCATGTAATATTCTGTTTATCATATAATTAAATATGAAAGCAAATTATGTCGTGAAATACCTTTTTTCTTATTTCCACCTTATAGAGAAACCTCGAATGTATTATTTTCACTAGCGAAAAATATCATCTTTATGAAATGGAGAAATATAGGTATTTCATGGATAATTATATGATAAATTATGTATGACAATGAATCGAATTTCAAATGTTTTTGTTCTGAATCGAGTNAATCGCCAATAACACCCCATTGAGACCCTCAGGTAAATGTTCTTTTACTATTTTTTCCATGGAATGGAATTCTGGACTGGGATTCTGGCATATTATTATTGACACTCACTTGTTCCTTAACAACAGAAATTACGCTACTTCACAGTGTTACGATCTCTAGCTAGAAAGTCAGCATGAAATCAATAAGGTTTTCTATTATAACTTGATAGTATAAAAACTGTCTAGATATGGAATTTAGCAGCCCATACATGCGGCTTTTTTCAACGAGTGTTGAAGAGATCTCTGACGAGTGAGCGCAGCGAATGAAAGCAAATTATGTCGTGAAATACCTTTTTTCTTATTTCCACCTTATAGAGAAACCTCGAATGTATTATTTTCACTAGCGAAAAATATCAACTTTATGAAATGGAGAAATATAGGTATTTCATGGATAATTATATGATAAATTATGTATGACAATGAATCGAATTTCAAATGTTTTTGTTCTGAATCGAGTWCAATTTACTGTCTCCTGTAGGATCTGCGTCACCAGATGCTAAAGCTGCACGTGTGGATACGAATWGTAAGTATGTCTTAAGGACGGTTCACAATGACATATACAGAAACCGAATTCGAATTCGAAGCTTGTTCACATTTGACCGAAGCATGTTCTTCTGCTTATGATATCCCGGTTCACACTCATTATCTTTCAACAGAAGCAGACGAGAATGAAAAAAAGTTTTCTTTTTCATTTGCTTGTGTCTCTGCTTTTGTTGTCCCCGGTTCACGCATGCAAAATTCACTTCTTCAGCCTCTGCTTATGTCTTATTGATTGAAATCCTATATCACAAAAAAATCATGCGTCGTCAAAGTAGACTTCATCAAAGAATCACATTTTTTTTTTCTTCTCTTCTCTTGTGTGTTTGAAGTATTGGAAAGACGAGTTCATAAGTTGGAACCCAGAAGAGTTTGGTGGCTTAAAAGCAGCTGCCATTAATCCTGAAAAAGTCTGGACTCCAGAACTCGCTCTATACAACAGGTAATGCTTGTCAACATAAGGCTATTGCTTTCAACGGCCATTAAAGTATCCCGCTCATATTTTATAATAAATATATAATATTTGTTCACATGCCAACAAAAGATGTTGTGTTTACATTCCTATAATAGCAGCGTACCGCTACTATTATAAAGGCTATCCTTAAAATAGTAGCACTAGATCATCATTATCTTCTTAACACACCAATTTGTCGGACAAATAGATTTAAACAAAGTTTTATCATATTCGATCAATAGTAACCATTTTTCAAATTTTTAATCATATACAATATATTTATAATATCCTTAGCTTTTTACGTAATTCAATTTTTCAATCCTTGACATTTCATGCATTATTATATATATATTGTTTATTCTTTGCAATTTTCGGTTATCCAGCCTTATGGCTTCAAAGGATTTTAATAAAGCAATCTATCTATCTATCTATTCTGCAGGCTATCATGGGGCTCCGCTATTAGATGTTATCTAATTTTTATTATATTATATATTACTTAAACATCAGATTTCTAATAGCATCCACAAGATTATAAGAATTATAAATAAAGTTTAAGTAACTCATGTCAAACTTTATTCATGACCAAACAACAATTTTTTCATAGATATAAATGAGCCACATATTCCTCAGATTGTAATCAAAATGGCCGAAGTTGTGAGCAATTTCATGCATTTGCACTTTGATCATTCCTACAAAAAAATATTCATTTGCTACACTGTTGAGTTAACTTTATAACTTTTGATTGACAGCGCATCAGATAAACCTAATGAGATCAATTTCAAGATGATATATAAGGTACATATCACACACACTGGAGAAATGCGTTGGACGTCACCTTCAATCATCTCCTCTGACTGCAGAATGGATGCACTCAGTTTTCCTTTTGACAAACAAAAGTGTTTCCTCGAGTTTGGGCCTTGGGTGGATGGTAGCAAGCTGGATATTGATCTTCATTTACCTTATGTCGACAAGGAATCGTATTCTGAGAATGAAGAATGGCTTTTAACTGGTGACAAGGCTGAGAAGCGGGTGAAAAAATACACCCTTGCGTCAGATCTCTGGCCATCAGTGGTTTTTACCCTAGAGATGGAACGAAGAGCATCGTTTTTTTGTGCGTAATGTGATCGTACCTTGTGGACTCATGACACTTAGCTCGCTCTTTTCGTTTATCATGCCACCTAATTTAGGAGAAAGAGTATCTTTCCTTACAACTGTTCTTGTCGCTTTTACAGTTTACATGATGATTGTAAACGAAGAAATTCCACCTTCTTCAACTGTGCCGTTAGCTTCCAAGTTTTTCTTATTTCTGATGGTCCAACAAGGCCTATCTATTATGGCTACTTGCTTTATAATAAGATTCCAAAGTAACGATTCTCCAATACCCAAGTGGTTTGATGTTCTTGTCAACAAATGGCTGGCTTATTTGTTATTCATGCAGCCTGAAAAGAATTCTGTCGTTTCTGGAAAAGATGACCTCATTTTCAAAAGAAATACCTTTTTAAGCACAGACTATCAAAGTGAAGGTGACNATTTTTATTTGATGATTTTAACCTTTGAAGAAATTTTAATTYGCTGATTTAATATCTCGTCAACATCAAGAAAACAGTCGAAATATTATTCATGAATTCATTTTAATTTGAAACGGCAAGCAATGAAAAACTCAATGAGCGCAGGTGACATCTGTTATCCAGGTKATGTTATYTCATCAATTTTAAAATGCATCRATGGGACAAAAATAAATGACAAAACTAAAAGTCTACACCATAACATCCATCCTAATTTATTTCGAAACTGGAAGGAAACTTAAACATGGCATTTGCAGATGAACAGAAATGATGTTCTTGTATTGCTGGAGTCTTGTCTTCACGACTTTCATMGGTAAATCAGAYGTGACATTTAAGCGCTTTAATGTACTTGTTTTTTCGTGGGTAGACTATAACGGATATAAGTATTCCGTCCTCACCATAGTTAACTTTYTTGCATCTCATAAAGTCTGATTATTTACTGAAAGATCTTGACTTGATTTAATGGAAATCCTGGTGAATATCATGTAAATGTGGCTAGAAAACAATTTGTATGGTACTTTCTTTTCGTTGCTAGAGTATTAAAAAGAAAGGCGCCGAAAATTTAAAAGAATACAGAGAATTACAGTCATTTCCAAAAAATCTGGTCAGGCGTAAAAACTATATCTAGTTAATCAGGTTCACGATTTTAGTAATGTTTTGTTTTGGTTGTTGTTGTTTTTTATTGCTAAGAGAGATCTTGAATCATTTGAATACTTTATAGTTTTTCAAGGTGGTTTAAGCGATATTCAAGTTTTTAATCCGAAGGTTTTTGTCACTGAAAATGAGAAGCTTCAATTTTGAATATCAAAAACTCTATATTGTTATATTTTTATAAGTTAGTGGACAGAATTTTTTCGAATGACTGTAAAATATTTGTAGACAAAGAAAGTATATTTCAATATCATTTAGAAATACGATAACTAAATGCAACATTTTTAAGGTACTTCGTTTGCCCAGCCTTACAACAACTCTGAAAGTCGTTTGATTGAGCATATTTTAACTGGCTATAACCGTCAAATYCGACCAGTGCAAAATGTATCCAGTCCTGTCAAAGTAAGATTTGGAATAATGCTTAAACAGATCATCTATGTGGTATGTATATATTCACGCTTAAATATAACAAGGTTGCTCCTTAATGCAGCAATCTTAATTTCCAAATCCTTTGATATGACTGAGGAARTCGTTGAGCAAACAATATATATAGCAACTGAGAATAAGGAGGAGCCGATTACTTCTGCTCTTCTATATAAATGTTTTTACGATTTTTGACTTGGAATGGGATTCTGAACTGGGATTCTGGCATATTATTATTGACACTCACTTGCTCGTGCTCAAGGTAGGTGTTGGGTGCTAATCGTCCTTCATGACAGCACGGGTGCTGAGTTGCGAAAGACGCAGCTCGGCGCGCTATCAAGTCGAAGTGCTATATTACAGACACATTTTTACATACACTTACACATAGGCGTGCTGACGGCTAGGCGCTTCCTTTACATAGCAACGAACGACTGAACGCGGAGCACAGCAGATAGAAATGGTTCGTCGAGGGTTTTTCCGGAAAGACCCGGAAAAACCCTCGACGCAAGGGAGGGAACGAAAGAAACTCAAATCACATATGGTGCCCCGAGCGAGATTCGAACAGAGTCCACAGAGGTGACAGGCCAGCGCTCTCACCGCTCGGCCACCCATGCGTCCCCATGCGTAGGAGATTCAATGTTCTGATAATAAGATATCTCTTAAAACTGAAATTATAAAACGTTCTTTACTAGTTAGAATTTCTAGAAAGCAAACAAAATCAATAAGATTTTATTATATAGAGGATATTACATGGGYGCGCGAAGATACGGATTTTATCTTCGAGTGAAGATCCCTCACAAATAGATAAAAATTCGCATCTCCAAGCGAGAATGTAAAATTGTGTTTATCATATAATTGCATATGAAATCCAAATATGTCATAAMATACTAGTGAAAATATCAACTTTATGAAATGGAGAAATGTAAGTACTTCATAGATAATTATATGATAAATAAGTTTATTGCATAAAAAACTGTCTAGATATGGAATTTAGGAGCCCATACATGTTCGCATTGTGTTGCACACTGAGGAAAACAAAACCAGCAAGCCATCTTCCAGGTTGGCTCAACTCCATATTCACAGGTTCTCAGATTGACTGCTTACCTTCAATTAAATCACGTGTGCTATATATAATATATATATATAATTATGACCATGAATCGAACTTCAAATGTTTTGGTTCTGAATCGAGTACTTACCTTCTCMTGTAGGATCTGCGTCATCAGATGTTGAAGCTTCACGTGTGGATACGAATTGTAAGTATGTCTTAAAGCATGGCGTGATTTGATTGARATCCTATATCAAAAGAAATTATGATCAGTCACAGTAAACTTCATCAAAGAATCGCTCGCATTTTTCTTTATTTTTTTTGTGTGTTTGAAGTATTGGAAAGACGAGTTCATAGGTTGGAACCCAGAAGATTTTGGGGGCTTAAAAGCAGCTGCCATTAATCCTGAAAATGTCTGGACTCCAAAACTTGCTCTATACAACAGGTACATTTTGTCAACATAAACCTATTAGAATACGTGAAATAATATGTTTCTGATAATTTATTGTGTTCATATCGAAATATGTACGAGAACATGACTCGACCTTAGTTTCAGCGATAACTGATAGAGATTTCAAATCGTTTTTATCTTAGTCTCAATTTGTATTGATATATTGGAAAGGGCATGGAAGGCTCACATCTTATATCTTAAGTGACCATCAGATTCTAATACCATTCACAAGTTTATAAGAATT